AGATACGAAGCCGGTCGAATTTATCCAGGAAAGCTATCGCGGCCTCGTCTCCATCAGAAACTAAGTCTAAATATGACAAAACTCGACTATTGGTAGGAAGTATTAATGCTGAGGTGGGCGTAGGAGGTCCTGGACCTGGCCAAAAAGGGGCTGGCGCATGCATATGTGGGCCCACAGACGTCCTGATGATGATCATCCCCATCGTCCATCTCGGCCAAGACGCTACAGAAGAGATCAACGTCGCAGGGCAGCAGCAAAGGGCCCTCGTTTTTGAAGCCGTATTCCAGCTCAGCGTCCTGGAGCAGCGTCCTGAACAGCGGGTGGTTGGCCGACTCGGTCTTGATCACGAACCTCTGCCTTGTGGGGCCCACGTACACCGAGAAGCATCCGTTTGGGGTCGTCATGATTTTGGTCTTTTTATTGGGCCACGATCGGCTCTTCACCAACATCTTGCTGCTGTTGCCTGATTTCCCATTGCTCATCATCAGGTATCTCTCCAGCTTCTTCAGGATTGAACTTCTTCCCATTTCCATGAATATGTATATATAGGGCGAATCAATATATGGTGTCGTCGTGACTCGTGAGGCTGATAAAACTTATCTATTAAACTGTTTTTTTTTATGTTCTTTTTGACAAGATTTGGGATTTTTGTTGTGTCGAACGAACCGACTCGTTTAATTAACCTCTGTTGTAGGCCAGATCGAACATGGATTTAACTCTTAGGTCTGTTGTATTATTGCTCATAATTTGAGGAATTGAACAGAAGGGATTAACTAATTGTGATTTTTCCATGAATGAGGCTTTTTATTATAACATCTCGAGCATATATTATTAACATGGAAGGATGTGACAAATTTGGATAATTTGAGGCTACTTGTTTGTTTCTAACTCTAAACAAAAGCGCAGGGAATACTGTGTTATATATAGAGTAGTAGTTGGATCACATTTTTAATTTTGATTTATTTATTTATTTATTTTGGAAGAAATGTAATAAATGAAACGAGAGACATTGTCAAAAGATGAACAGATTTACTAAAAGGGGTTGGCTCAATAAGTGGTAAGCAACTTGTTGTCGTTTAAGCAAAGGTTTTAAATTCGAGTCCTTGTGAATGCAGAAAACCCAACAAGACTCACAAATCACTGCCAGGTGTGCGACTTGGATCGATCAACAAATTAATCAGAATATAACTCCAGAACCGTGGCTGACTTAAAAAAAATGAACAGATTTGTATATCGCCCCACTAATAATTAAAACGAAGTCAACAATTCAACGCCTCATCTTACGTGCGCGAATGGCTAATTCGACAATAGTAGTTGGAATATATCTGGTTGTTTTTTTCATGTTAGTGTATGATTTATAAGGACAATATATAATAATCATAATAATAATTAAATAATAAAACTCTTGAGGGAGAGTTTTGTCGCCCTTATGGTCCTACTCGGCTCGATTCTGGATTAGTCGTTTCCTTGTGGATCCGAAATCGAAAAATCCTTGTACCTAAAAAAAAAAAATAATAAAGAAATCGATGAATGGATAAGGAAATGGCGCAGTTATTAAATTAATCCATACATATATTAGTCAATTTATTAAATTTTAATTAATTGGGATAATGTTGGGTGGCGCGCGCATTGTGTTTAATTTCCAGTTATTACTGATGACTGTGATGTGATGTGATGATACTAATGAGATTATAATAAGTATTATTACGTACTTGCAATCGTCATAAATAATATTATAATTTCTTTTTAAAAAAATGATTTAATTGTCTTCGGAATTATATATAGTAGAATGAATTAATATAATAGTTAATAAAAATGATGACATTATGTGGTGCATATATAGTATTTTCTTTTTTTAAAATAAAAATGCTTTTCGCTTTATAACTTAATGTATATTTAAGATGATTTCTATACAAATAGCATTATGTTATATTGACCAACTAGTACTAATATGGGTGTTGAGTTAACGAATATATGTGTAAAGTTATTTATGTCTAATTTCAAACATAACTCCAGAACAAAAATAATATAAAAACAACATTACGAAGAATAGATTTTCGTCATGTTAGCATCCGAAACGTGCGAATCTGCCACCTAGGCTCAACACGTTTTGATTTAATATATAGGAAGGGATTATATTTTAGCTACTTCTTAGACTTTATATTAACAAATTAAAACTGATCACTTTTTTATATTTTGACTTGTAGATAGTAACAAAGCATAGTTAATGAACAAAACACCAAGCTTCGGTAGTATTGAAATTTGAAACCTCTCCCATTAAATAGAGGTTGGGGGTTCAAATGGAACGAAAAAAAAAAATTATATTTATAGTAGTATAAAAAAATTGTTGGAAAAATATCTTTTTAGTAACCAACAGGGGTTGGTTTAAGTGGTAAGCATCTTGATGTCGCTTAAGCAAGGTCTCGGGTTCGAGTCCTTATGGGTGCAGCTCTTGTTGGGAGACTCACCCACCACTGCCAAGTGCGACCCGGGTTGACCAACGGATTAGTCGAGGCATAGTTCCGGATACCTTGGCTGACTACCAACAAAATATCTTTTTAGTAAGTTATTGACTTACTATTATACGAATTTTTTTAAAAAATACGTGTATCTTTTATTTTGAAACAATTGAGATTTGAATAGAATATACAATTAAAATTGTATCCACATTTTTTGGTAACTAAAATCGATTGTGTATCCACATTTTTTATAGAAAAAAAAAAAATAGATCCGGATTTGATTTTAATATTTAATGTCAAACGCTATTCAATTATTTAGCAAAACTTATTAAAATCAATTTAAAAAACGCGTGCAACTTTTATAAGAAAAAACCTGTATGCAACTTTCTAAATTTTGAATGCACCGATTTTTCTTGAATTCTTATGCCTTTTTTCTTAACCAAAACTTTGAAAAGTTTTGGTAAGTTCAATTCAAATCTTATCATTATTTTAAACAAATTTTATTATTATAATATGATGTTATTT